CATGGCTTAAGAGATTATCAGGATGCCACAGTATTGGCAGAGTTTCTTTCTCTTGTGCGTATGTTAGCTATGAGTCAGAATTGTCTTAACAAGTCAGAATTGTCTTAACAATACCTAAAACAACAAAGACTAATGAAAATAATTAGTCAGTGAAAAATTTATGAGTAGTAGCAGAGTATTGTCTGATATATTGTCAGAAGATCAGCCTCTCAGGTTGGAACTCACTACAAGCCACAACTGGGAAAGAACTAACTACACAAAATAAAACTGAATCTACTGATGGAGTAGCTTTCAGGCTCTTCATTTGCTGAGGTGGCACAGCTCAAACTGAGAAGAAATAGTCATAAACATCTATTAATAACCACAAAATTATATGTTGGAAGTGTAAAAGCATCTAGGATATATGGAAATTGTAAAAAATAAAAGATAAAACTTGGTATCTCAGACATTAGCTAGAATGGACTGGTTTTGACTATTTTAAACTGGACAATCGTAGTCTGCTATGCAAGGAATTGACAAACTGGTGAAATGTCATTATATTTGTCATAAAAAATAACATTTCAAGCTGTCTTGAATTGCAAGACTTTTATTGATAAGACAATACCCATAAGCCTATTTTTGTTGTTGTTAGATGCGGTCAAGTTGAGTACGACTCATAGAAACCCTATGAACAAAAAATCTGAACCCCGTTCTATCCTGTGCCATCCTCACACTGTCTGGCATACAAGAGCCCACTGCAGCAGTCACCACATCAATCTACCTGATCAAGGGTTTTCCTCTCCTTTGCTGACCCTTCACCCTTCCTAGAATCATGTCCTTCTCCAAGGAATAGCCCCTCTTAGCAACATGTCCAAAGTATGTGGCGCGAAGCCTCATCATTCTTGCCTCCAAGAAGCACTTGAGCTGCACCCTGTCCAAGACATATTTGTTTGTTTTTCGGTTGTTCATGAGATGTTCAGTGTTCTTCTCCAACACCACAGCTGAAAAGCATAAATTGTTCTTCTGTCATCCTTATTCATTGTCCAACTCTAAGATGCATAGCAAATGATTGGAAAGACTGGTCTGAATCAGAGGCACCTTAGTCCTCAAACTGACATCATTACTCATCAATAATTTGGAGAGATCCCTAACTGCAGATTTTCCCATATGCCTATAGGGAAGAACAAATGATACAAATATGTTTGAAATTAATATACTGAATACTAATACTAACAATGAAGGAATGGGAGCTCTGGTGGCCTAGTGGCAAGAAGCAGTGCTGCAATCACAAGTACGCATGGTTCAAATCCACCAGATGCTCCAATGGAGAAGGAAGGGCAATCTCCTCCTGTGCCAGTTTTATCTACCTCAACGGTACACAACAAGAAACAAGACAAAAAACAATGAAGAAATGGAAGATTTTTGTCAACTTCTATAGTCTGGAAATAATAACAAGGTATAATAATTAACTTTATTTCACAGTTGATAAGAAACTGTTCTGCAATCCTGAAAGCATGCAATGGAAATCCACCAGCACCTCTACGGGAGAAGGATGGGCAGTCTTGCTCCGTATGATTAACTACCTTGGAAAAGCTGCTAGGAGGTCAGCTATGGGTTGGTTTTGACTTAAGGTACACAATAAAAACAAGAAGTGATGTATTATAGCAAAATGTGCAAAAACTGGGTCAGAAAACAGTTTCTCAAGCTGAAAGGACCAAAGAAGAAATTCAAGCCTAAAGTTTCAGTACTGAAGGATTCTAAGAGCAAAATCCTGAATGATACAGTAAGTGTCAAAAGTTTAAAGGGACACAAAGACATTAGACCTTATGCCAAAAAGAATTGGCTGACATGAAATCATTTCTGGAAGTGGCATATGCTCAAGACCTAATGGTAATGAAGAACTTTAAGCTGCACTGAGGCATTGGGGGGAAAAAAGACTCTAGGAATTAATGAAATACTATTTTAAGTGTTTCAACAAACAGATGCAAGCCTAGAAGTGCTCACAAGCCTGTTGTTGTTTTTGTTATGTGCCATTGAGTCACCTGTGACTCATAATGACCCTGTGAACAACAGTTCTGAAGCCTGCCGTGCCCTGAGCCAATCTCATTGATTCTGGCACACCTGCCTCCATTGCTCAAGTTATTTTATCAATCCAACTCATCTGGAGTCTTCCTCTCCTGTGATATGCCACCACCCTTCCAAGCATGATACCCTTCTCTAAGGATCAGCCCCTCCTGGCCATATGCCCACAGTATGTGAAATGGAGCTTTAAAATCATAGCCTCCAGGGAGAAAGATCTTAAAAAAAGATCTGTCTGTGCTCTTGGCATTCCATGGTATATTCAATACTCTTCTCTAGCCCCACTACCCGAAGACATCAATTCTTCTGTAATTCTTAGTCCTTGTCCAGCCCTCTTATGCTTAGTAAGTAATTGTGAAGACTGTGGCCTAAATCAGGAACACCTTAGTCTCTAGACTGACATCATTGCTTCTCAGTACTCTGTAGAGATCCTTAACAGCAGATTTCCGCCCCCTCCAGTGCAATTTGTCTTTTGATTTCCTGACTGCTGGTGCCAAGAGTGTTGATTGTGGAGATGAGCAAGCTGTAACTGTTAACAACCTCAATCTCTTCTCCATTGATCATATTGGTGAGAATCTTTGTCTTCTTGATGTTGAGTTTCAATCCATATTGAAGACTACAGTCCTTGACCTTCTGCAGCAAGCACTGCAAGTCCTCCTCAGTTTCAGCAAGCAAGGTTGTGTCATCTGCATATTGTAGGTTGTTTATGAGTCTTCCTCCAATCCTTATGCCACATTCCTGCTCATAAAGCCCTGCTTCCTGAATTATCTGTTCTGCATACAAATTTAAAAGGTATAGAGACAGGACACATCTCTGATGCACTCACTTCCTGATTTCAAACCACATAGTGTTTCACTGCTCTGTTCTGAGGACTTCTTCCTTATCCAAGTATGGGTTTTGCATAAGCACAATCAAGTGTTCTTGGATTCCCATTCTCCTCAAAGTTAACAATAATTTGTTGTGATCCACACAGATTAGAAAGTATAGATTTTGGTATGGGTTACACAACATAAAAAACCCAAAAATCTTCATGGGTGGACCAAGAGGCAACATCATGATATATGTAGGAAAGATTAAAGTTATCAATACTTTCATTTTCCTTTATCAGTAATCAACATCCATAGAGGCACAACTCAAGAAATCAATGTCAGTAAAAGAAATTTATCAACTGACCTAATGCTTTGGGAAAATCTGCTGTTAAAGACCTCTTTAATGATTAAAGAGCGAGGATGTCCGTTTGAAGTTTAAACTGTGTGTGACCCAAACTGAGGCAATTTCCTTTGCTTCATATTCATATGCATGTTGGACAATGACTAAGGAAGACCAAAAAAAAGAAATGATGATTTTGAATAGAGGTGCTTGAGAAAAGTGCTGAATATAACATGGTCCGCCAAAAGAACAGGTAGTTATATCTTAGAAAAAGTGCAACCAGAACAAACTTTATCTCACATACTTTAAACAAGGGAGTAGTTCTTGAAAAAGAACATCATGCTTTCAAAACAGAAGGTCAGTGCTCTACTGGTAGCTAACCTTACCGGGTAAAGTTAATTTTAAGTGTCAAGTTCCAAATTATCTCCCAAAAGATATCATTGCATTTCCTTCCCAGCTCACCACTTCTTCTCCCAACAATCCCTTCTCAGAGCAAGAGATCACAAATACTTTGCCAGGTCCTCATATCTTACAGAAAAATCCGCTGGTTCTTGAAGAATTACCTTCCTCCTCTTGATTCCTTTGGTAGCTCTGTGGTTTAGTCTTAAGAAGCTATGTTGCAATCCTCATGGAATGCAGTTTGAATCCACCAGCTTCTCCGCAGGGAGAAGGATGGACAATCTCCTCCCATGTGATTGCCTCTGAAAACCGGCTGGAAGGTCAGCTGTGGGTCCTTTGAGTTTTGGTGCTGGAGAAGAGTGTTGTATATACCATAGAGTACCAAGAGAACAAACAAGTCTATCTTTGAGAGTTGAAATCAGATTGCTCCTTAGGGGCAAAGGATTTTTAAGCTCTGGCTCACATACTTTGGGTGTGTTGCCAGGAAGACCAGAACTTGGAGAAAGACATCATGCTCGAAAGGATAGAGAGTCAGCACAGGAAAAGAAGACCCTGAATGAGATTGACTGATGGAGTGACTGTGGCATTGGGCTCAGGTGTGTCAAGAGGTAGTGAGGATGGCTCAGAGTAGTGCAAGATTCAGAGCTGTGTTTATAGGGTCGCTCTTGAGTTGTAATTGACTCGACGGCACATGACAACAACTAGAGAAAGAGCAAGACATATAAGGAGGCCTTCTATGATGGCAAAATGGTTCAGCGCTTCACTGATAAGCAAAAGGTGGATCGTTTGAATCATCATGAGAGAAAAAAAAATCTGGCAATTTGTTCCTCCACAGATTTACATCCTTTAAAATCCCTGAGTTACGCGACGCTGTTCTTCGTTGTCAGTGTAAGTCAGAATCGACTTTATGGAAGTGGGTTTTGTTTTAAGGAGCGTTTATAGGTATGGTCCTCTCAGATGCTCAGAGCAATCCTGTGAATTGAAGCCTCAGAGAGATAACGTGTCTTGTGCAAAAATACTCTGCAAACCGGCATTTGAGAACTAGGTTTTTCTGATCCAAATGTTAAGCTGTCTCATTACTGATATAGTTAGAAATACATTTAGGGCTTTATTCCTTGAAAAGTAGAGAAGGAGAAAGAGGATGTTAATGTTTATTTTAACTTAAGGTTAATTACAGAACGTTAGCATATCTGGCCAGAAATGCAACTCAGTTATGATCTCTTGTCCCTGAGTAGTAAAGCAGCGCGCAAGCGCACACCCTGTCGCCTGGCTCCGCCCCCGGGAGGTTGCTGCTCCTAGCTCGCGGTTCTCAGGCTTGCGCACTGTGTCCCCAGTCGCAGGTCTCTTCCGGCGGGGGACTTCCGGTGAGCCGGGGTGTGATTCCGGGTCGTGGTGCAGCTCAGGGCAACAGGGTTATTGCTTGGCCAGACGGCAGTGGCTGGCAGCTAGGGCATGAGGGCGACCCTGGAAAGTGGCAGCTGAGTGGGCCGGGAGGAACGCCACTCCTTAAGGATCCCAGAAGTGCAGAACTCGGGGCAGGGTCGGGAGGCACGGGACATTGGGGCCCTGCCTTCTGGAACGTGTCCCCGGGCCGGCCCGGCCCGCAGTGTGGAAGCAGCTTCAGGTAAAGGTTGCCCCAGCCGCTGGCTCACTCGCTCGCCCTCCAGCCCTGACGCCCCGTCTTCAGTCCCCGCGTTCGGCGCTGCCAAACGGGCCGCCAGTCAGACTGGTGTTTAGATCGCTGGGGAACATCCGTTTCCTGGCTGTTTCCAGAACCAGATGCTGTCGTGAGCCTGACAACTGGGTGTGTGAGCTGGGGAGGAGAAGCTAGGAACCTGCTGGGGAAGTAGGGGAGCGCCATGCTATTTACTTAAGCAGTTTCAGGCCCTCAGGTAAGCAGCATCTAGGTGTCCTTATTTTCGTAATGTGAAAATCAAGTGTTTATGTGGTCCTTGTTTGTTAACTCACATTTCCTCCCTTTCTCCCAGAGTTAAACAGCCTGCTAGTCTTACTGTCAATTTGCTTTAATTAGGATGCTGCTGTACTTTGGTTGACTTATTTTGTGTATGGCACTGAGAAGGAGCCTGTTAAGGCTTAAAGAAAGAAAAGGTTGTATTTGAAACAATTTTTACTTTAGCTGGAGAGTTGATTCACAGATTGGCCAAAACTTTATTTCAAATGAATGCAAGTAGGTTTTGAAATCAGGTACTTAAAAGACCCTTGGATAAGTAGGTTCTTAAGCTCCACAGTTCGAAACCTCCAACAGTTATGTGAGCGAAAGATGGGTAGCCTCCGCGCTTAATGATTTACAACCTCGGAAACCCAATGGAGGCTCATTATCAGTGAGAATTGCCTGAGCTGCAGGACTGCTAACGGAAGGGTCGGCAGTTCAAATCCACCATTAGCTCCATGGAAGAACCCTGGGCAGTCTCCATTATCGGAAACCAATGTAGGGTCCATATGATTAGGAGTAGACTCAGCCACAAAGGGTTTTGGTTTATTGTATACTTAGCCCTGTACAAAGTATCATGTTGTAAACCAATGTCAACATAGTCTGAAACATTTTCAGGTGTGAACAGAGCCACACAGGGAGGCAGGTTTCTATACACAGTTTAAAAAAGTTCGCATTCCCCTTTTACATTGACAGGAAAGGGTGACTCTTTCATGTAAAAACCTACAACAGGAAATGAAACAGTATCTTTTATTCCTTATAGTCTGTGAGTTCAGAGAAGATGCACAGTGAATATTTGCTGAAAGAGTTCTTGATAAAGCAGTGACAAATGCTTTCATCTTAGTTTACACATCTAGCAAATTTGCTGGGACTTTCCCATTCAACTTTGTGCTTATACCTCCCTTTTGTTACTGTGGCAACTGTGCTCATATACCTTCACATCTCCTAGTCTGACTCTTAGCTACCTTTCTAGCTTCTCTTGGGGGGGAAAAGTCCTCTTATTCTACCCTGAATAGAGAGGGTATCCCCTTTAAAAGGGATTTGAGATGCTGTTCTTTCCTGTGGCCATCACTTTTTGTAGAACTTTCTGCCTTGGTTTCTCCTGTTGTATCCCCACCTGTTGGGATGCTGTCCACAGCCTGCCTAAAATTGACCCTCTAACCATTCGGGGTCAACCCCTGCTGGAACTGATCTCTTCTTAGAATCCTAGAAACATTAAATATTTCTTTTTTTAAAAAAATTTTTACTTTATTATATTTTGTGCATGTACTGTCAAATCAGATCTAACTGGTACAGGAGGAAATGGTCCCTCCTCCAGCAGAGCACCTGGTAGATTTGAGCCGTGCACCTCTGGGATTAAATATTTTATTTCTAATTATTTCATTTAGCAAACATTTATTGAGTAGGGGTATTTGGATTATGTTGTTGTTGATTGCCATCGAGTTGAGCACGACTCATACCGACCCTATGAACAAAAGACCTGAAAGCTTTCTATAATTATTATTTCTCCAAGTTCATAGAATTTCCACAGGTATGTTGTTTAGGAAGTGGATGCCACTCCTGCTTCCAAATATGTAGGCGTAAAAAGATAGATACGTAGACCCATTTTTTGCTCTCAAGGAGCTTAATTTAGTGAAAGAGAAATTAGTAATTCAAATATAGTGTGACAAGGACACTGTAGGAAAGGTAATTTGTGATACACTGTAAACATGGAAACAGGAACTATTAATCCTTTTGAGGGGTGAGTTATGGTCAAGGAATGCTTTGTAGCATGGGGTAAATGAAACTGAGTATTTACTATGTCCCTGCTATACTTGGTGCCATCATTGAGTTGATTCTGACTCCTATCCATTGCTATTGAGTCAGTTCTGAATCAGTGACCTTCCATTTCTTGTACTATAAATATTTTTTTTAAGAACAAACTTGTATTTGTAATTATAAACCAACATTTTGCATTTATGCTGTTTTATTGAAAGCTTTATGAGCAGTGACTGCCTGTTTTTCTCTGTTGGAGCGCATGGTGGATATAAATGACCTTTCGTTTACCGGCATAGCTTACAAAGTACTACACAACCAGGGCTCCTTACACCCTTTAGGGCCAAGTAGAACTGCCCCATGGAGTTTCTAAGTTTGTAAGACTGCTGTATCTTTTCCCTGTGATTTACTATGTCCTGGGTTTTATACAAGGAGCTCTGGTGGTATAGTGCTTAACATATCAGACCAATAATAAAAAAATTTACGGTTTTAGTCCATCATCTTCTGTTAGGAAAAAAGATGAACAGTTTGACTTCCAAAGCCTCTTTTACTACTTCATACTTCATTTGAATACTGGCTATCAGTTATTAGCTGTGTGATCTGGACAGTGTAAAATGGGGACAATAATGGCAGTCTTGCACAGTACTTAATAATGGTTAAGTGAAACAGCTAATGTATGTTGTTCTTGTTAATTGCCATCGAGTTGAGCACAACTCATAGTGACCTATGAACAAAAGACCTGGAGCCTTTCTATAGCTATTGTCGTTTACCAAAGTTCATAGTTTCCAGAGGCATGTTGTTTAGGGAGTGAAACCACTCCTGTACTGAGTACCAAATACCATGATGCTCTTGGGAAGATGTAGCTACTTGCAGTTAGGTGCATGGGTACTCATGATGTTTATGCCATTTAGCAAGGACTGGTTCATGGAGTGGCTCTAGAGGAGTGAGATTCACTTTCAAGTCTGGGTCATGAAATGAATCTTGTCAATTTCTGATTGTGCCTTGTGAATTACTTAATGTACCTGCCTCTTGTGTACTGTTGAGAAAGGTTTTCAGTATGCTATTTTTGGACTGTTATATGACTTTGTTTTGCTGTTGCTGCTAAGTGCTGCTAAGTTGACACTGAGTCCCACTTATGGCATAGTACTGTACCATCTTCATGATCCACATGAAATTTATTTTCAAGCTAACAATATACACTTAATTGCATATATTACCTTCTTTGAACCCATAACTCCCCTCTGAAATTACTGCAACATAGGCTTTTATGTTACCTGGCCTCCATTTTATAAAAGCTGAAGTTCAAACTCTTAGTAAAGTGATTGAAGGTATTGAGTAATAGCAAAGCAAATAGCAAATTTGATATAACTTGTATTCTCGTTAGCATAGGCAACTTGAACTTTTGGTTTTTTATTCTAGATATAATACTTTGGCACTATCCCATGCACTCTTTGGATCTTGGAGCTAGCTCTTTTAGTATCTTTTAGTATCTCTTAATTATTTAAATTTAATGTCTACAAGTAGTTACCACTGATTATGTTATGAGAATGTTTGATTACTCATTGCTGGCAAAGATTGGCGAGATAGTAATTATCCTAAGTTACTGGGTGGAAATGTGCATTGGGTTTTTTTCCCCTTTAAATACTGTGGAAGTATTTATCATAAGCTCTGAAAAAAATCCATGCCTTTTGACCCAATAACTTCTAGGAATTTTTGTGAAAGACATAATCAGAAAAATATTCATGTTTAAAGATGTTGAATGCAGCATGATTCATAATAGCAAACATTAGAAACCAGCCTCTTTCTTGCATACTAAGGTGGTTTCTCAGTTTCATGGTGAGAAATTAGGAAAAATAATCATTGAATCAAAGTATTGGGAAGTCAATTTAGATATTTTAGAAGAATTCTAGTGATAATAACATGCACACAATATAATGCTGTTGTTCTGTCATTGAATTGAGATTGCCTCATAATTGACCTACCAATGGGTTTTAAGAAGCTGTAAATTGCATGGGAGTAGATTGGCTATCTTTCTCCCTTGTAAAGCTGGTGAATTCAATTCAAACCATCTGCCTCTGGGTTGGTAGCACAACTAAGTGGAAAAAAAAAAGATATATATAACTGATATCAATTACATTAACTGTACATGTGACCCCAATTATATTAACCATATATACAAAGAAAAAAATAGATGATGTAATTATAGATTTTTATACTTTTCTGTTGTCCAAATAACCACTGATAAACGGAACGCATAAATATTGACATATTAGGTATTGGAGAGATGAGATGGACTGGCATGGGGCATTTTGAGTCTGATGACCATATGATATATTACTCTGGAGATGAAAAGACAAGGAAAAACGGGGTT